CGGGAGATGTCCCTGCGCTCAGTAACCTGCAGCTGCCCAGCCGCGTGGACGGCATGGTGGGCGACGACCCGTACAACCCCTACAAGTACTCTGACGACAACCCTTATTACAACTACTACGATACTTATGAAAGGCCCAGACCTGGGGGCAGGTACCGGCCCGGATACGGCACTGGCTACTTCCAGTACGGTAAGTACCCCCAAGTCCGCTGGAACCACCCGTGCACCTGGTCCCCAGCTATGTGGCTTCTCGACGTGGCTGCCTGGGCGCGGCGGGCCCCGGTCCTCGCAGATCCAATCCCTCCCCCAACGCGCCTGCAGTGGCAGCCCTGGAATCTAGTGCAAACCGCGCGTCTGGCCCCTCCTGCTTCCTTTTCACATTGCTTTGCAGCCCCGGGAGTCCCCAGTTCTCTTGCTGCCCCCTGCTCCACTCTGCAGTCCCGGTGGGCGAAGGGTGAGGAGTAAGGGACCTAGAGGGGTAGGGAGTTGGAGCGGGGGGCGCCGGGTTGTTTCACTGCTGCGCCCGTCGCCTGCTGACGTTTAGGTCTCCCAGACCTGGTGGCCGACCCCTACTACATCCAGGCGTCCACGTACGTGCAGAAGATGTCCATGTACAACCTGAGATGCGCCGCGGAGGAAAACTGCCTGGCCAGGTACGGGCTGAGATAGTCTGAGGCCCCGCTCCCCGGTCTTCCTTCAGGGGGCGCTCTGGTGCCTGCTTCTGACTGCTGCTGTTCCGCGCAGACAAGTGTTAGGAAGTGGGACAAGAGCTGGGAAGTGGGACGTGACCTCCTGGGCATGCTGACCTGGACGGAGAGTTAATATTTTGAAGATTTCTGTGGGTTCTGTCTCAAACTGCAGCACGAATCAGAGAGGTGGCGCAAACCCTTATCCTGGAGACTGAAGTCTCATGCTCTTTTTCCAAGATACTTAAACTTGGGAGTCGATTGTTTCCAATCACTTTTCATAAAACAACTATACAGTAATTCAAAACATTGATTGTAATGAAGGGTGTGTTAATACCCCCTTAAAAGAATGGGGGCAAATTTGCCATCGTAGCCTCATTGGTAAAGACTAAGTTTTTCTCTTTTGTTTGAGACCACGATGAACTTGGTTGTTTCGGTATTACTTCAGCCAGAATAAGACCATGAGCAAGAGCTTTGTTCTTCCACTGTTCTAAAATAAAAGAGTAACTCTGAGATTGGGGTTCTCTGAGTTTACTGCTAGGAAACAGCAGAGGGAGCAAAATATGTTTTAATAAAAATTTAATCAAAAATGTAAAGTGTAAAATAAGGTCATCAATACCATCTGAACATATAGCCACACTAAATATATTAGTAGGAACACAGTAATGTTTATTTGTACATTTCTTCTACTTTGACCCTTTACAATTGTCAGGCTAAAGGAAGTGAAGACATCCAAGCTCATTTTCATTCCTGAGTCTTGCATCACTCACACCATTGAACTCCCTATGATGTTTTTACAGTACTGCCATTGTTTTGGGGTAGTGAAGTTACAAAATTATTAATTTAAATCTGGGTATGCTCTTCTAGAGTTATTTCCTCAGTTTGCAACTTATTAACTATTTTGAAAGTTTTGCTAAATTTGAAGTTCGTAATATCTGTGAATTATTTTTTATTGGAGGATTATTTCCACTTCAGTTTCACTCGTTCATATGATCAAACTTGAATTGATTCAAACTTGAATTGATTCTAGACATAAAGTTTACTTCTGACATTTAGATTTTTAATGCTTATTTATTACGTTTTTACTGTTAAAATCTGTGGATTTCCATAGTTGTTATTCATTCACTTATTCACCAAATATTCATTGAGCTCTGACTGCTCCAAGACTGTTCTAGGAGCTTTTCAGCAATGAACCAAATAAACTAAATGCCCTGGCCTCTTGGAACTGATAGTCTAGCTGGGGAAGGAGGATTGTCACTACTATATAATGGAGGTTTTATTTGTAGTTTTGTCTTTAGTTAATATTCTATGAATATAATAATTTTTCTTTTTTCAAAATCACAGTACGGCATACAGGGCAGATGTCAGAGATTATGATCACAGGGTGCTGCTCAGATTTCCCCAAAGAGTGAAAAACCAAGGGACATCAGATTTCTTACCCAGCCGACCAAGATATTCCTGGGAATGGCATAGTTGTCACCAGTAAGTAAATGGGCCTCCTGGGTACTTTTGAGTTGCTTTTCAATTTTCGGGTGATTTTTGACATCACAAATGCAAGTCTTATTTCTTACCTAAAAGGAGAAAATTGCTATTATTTATATTTTGATTTTTTCTCTATGCAATTTGACATAACCCATCTACTACATGATCCTGTTATCTTTTGAAATAGAAAATCTGAAGCCCAGCTTATTAAAGCTGTTGATAGGATACAGCAATTGACTTCAATAAAATTTACTCCAATGCATTACAGATAGAATTTCTTTAAAAGTCCATTACAGCCAAGATCATCTACAGTTAGTTAGCATTAAATAGCCTTTCATAAAGACCACACGTTTTTTATCACAAGGATTCAGAAACCATTCTCAAAGAAAGATGTAGATGATACACTCCCTAAGCTCAAAAAGACCTGTATCAAACCCAGGGTGGTTGCCTGTTCTATCCTAAATTTAAGGAGTTTTACATAAGGTAATTCTATCATTTGCCTTAGTAACTTGCCTGGGTGTTAATTGTCAGGAAATCCTGATGTGTAGCCTTAAACTTACTTCCTGAAATCCAAGCCAGTCCTCGTTGTTTTTCCTTATGTGGGAAGATGAACAGCTCAGCACCTTCTGTTTAATGAAATGACAAAAGTAGATATAAGTCACCCAATTTCCTGATAAAATAGGAATACTTTATTTCTAAATAAAAGTGTATACTATTTAAATAATAATGGTGGATAAAACATGCCATGATTTCTCCTTTGCGTTTCACTAATGATTTTAAATATGTGAGAACTCAATTTTTTTTAAAATCTCATAGAAACCTTGAAAAAGTAATGTGCTGCTATTTGGAATGAAACATCAGCAGTGGCAGCCAAGAGGAATACACTAGAGAACACATGGCAAGTTTCACTTCAGAACAGATAATTTATTGTCCATTTCTCTGTAATATTCAAAGACAAAACAGGGTGCAATAAGAGAGCAAAATAATGAACTAAGTCTTTTGTCCTAGTAGCAAAGTTAAACCTTGCAATTTTGATAGATTTATGTCCTGGGGGGCGGTAGGGGGGGAAACCCTAGCATGAATCTCTCTTTTAGAAGATAAATTTGGTCTCAATTTTAATGTGAAAACAAATTTGTGAAGCCATGGGGGAAGTCATTTAATATCTTCATTGCTTTCTCTGTATGTAACTGACCACCATCTTTTTGTTTTGTGGGACGTTAGACATTACCACAGTATGGATGAGTTTAGCCACTATGACCTGCTTGATGCCAACACCCAGAGGAGAGTGGCTGAAGGCCACAAAGCAAGTTTCTGTCTTGAAGACACATCCTGTGACTATGGCTACCACAGGCGATTTGCATGTACTGCACACACACAGGTATGTTGGCACCCTGAAATCTGGAACCTCAAGCCTCAGAGAGAAACAGGTCATCTACCATTAGTTAGCATTAAATAGCATTTCATAAAGAACACACATTTTTATCAAAAGGATACAGAGACTTTTCTCAAAGAAAACTGAAGATGATATACCCCATGAGTCTAGTATTTTCTTTCCTCTCACCTCTCTTTTGTAAAGCATTCAATTTGAGGTCCACGTTGTCAAGATGGAAAATAATTGGGAAAAGGAAAATGACGGCTTGATGATCCAAATTACTTTTGAAATATTTCCCATTATGCATATAGCCCCTATTCATGATCACAGGTCAGTGTGGGTCCTTGTTATGTTCCACAATGAAGAACAGAAAATTACTCTCTGAAAAAGTCTGAATAGTCAACAACATATGCACCCATTCTGTATTCCTTAACTGGCTTAGTAAAAAAGATATCTCTGTTTTTTTCACCTGTGAAACCATTCCTTCCTTCTGTTTTATGCTGGAAATAGAATAGTGATTGGGGTTAGTAAATGAAGGAGAAATGCATTTCTTTGAAAGCACTTTAAAAAGTTGTCTCTTTTAATAATGCAAATTAGAGCAGAAGGACACCATTTCTTTCTCCACACGTATATATTTAAATCTACAGTATAATTGATGTCAGATGTTGTTGGGATGGATTTTTCTAAAGTAGTGCTGAACTAAGCAGTTTGTGTGTTTTATCATAGGAAAATGCGTGTCAGTTAAAAGCTATGTCAGTATTTCCATATGAAACCCTAATTTGTAAAAGGACATTATAATTTGACTCCCGCCCAGATCTTGGCAAAGGGTAGTGAATGTACATAACTCAGGGTACAAAGGGATCAGCAGTTGGCATCTTGGGAAGCAAATTCCAGGGCTGTGGCAGGAAGCTGTTTGGTGACCTAAATGTTACCATTGCTTTTTTCTCTGAGCTTAGAACATCATAGCAATTGGAGGGGGAAAGGTTAACTTCTACATGCCTCGGGACAGTATTTATTTAAGAAAGAAGAAATGTAACTTACCCACACATTATTCATGTGTGTATATAGAGATTCCCTTTTCAGTGATCTGCAAGTCCTGTGCAAGGGACCTAGAGTTTATTCGCCCCATTTATACAAAGAGGCACTCTGGACAGCTCACTCTGAAATATTTGAAGCTGGGATTGTAGACATTATAGCACTTCTCGTCCCCCACTTCTTTGGGGTAACCCCATTTCATTTTATATGGTAGCTTTCTTGTTAATCATCTTCCATATATGTTCTTTTTAACCGTTATTCACCAAATCTTGCATTGAGTGATTTATATATTTGATTTTTTTTTCATTAGACCAATTTCTCTTTCACATGGCTTCATTTAAAGGAAAAAATAATCTCTCAATCACCCAGTGATGACTTAGATTAGTTTTACTGAATGTTGCTTAAATGTATTCAAGCATAAAACTAGGTATAACTTCTTTAGATTTATACTTGTATATATTAATAACTCCTGCATTCTGAGATAAAAATTTACATATTAAATATATACAAAACTAAAACAGCTGCATTCACTTATTAATTTAATGTAACAAATAGCATGTATTGCTAAAACTCAAATTGCTGATTTAGAGAGTCTCAGCTAACATTCTACATTTAATCTGTTTTTATATTTTGACTTTGCCTACATGAAATGCCTGTTTGCCTTAGTAACTCTAGTTTTTGTTTGCCTGTACAAATAAGCAAAGCTTATACTTAAATTCTGTCAGCTGATGAATTCTAGAGTGCCAATTTTGGCATTTTTAAAGGTCTTTTGTCTATTTGAAGGCAAGATAAGCATTGAAGCATTGTTTAAACCCATCTTAAATGAATATCTAATCCAACGAATCCTTTACAATGTCATGAACATTGTGGTAGTAGTAGAAGTAATAGCTAACACTTATTGAGTATGTATTATATGCTAGAATCAGAATTGTATGCTGGAATCAGACCAAAAATCCTTCATTTTGTATTGACTACTCAACATACTGTTAAGTGATGTATGGATCAAGGTAGGAATCTAGACGATAACAATAGAATATGAGTCTCACTGCTGCAACACTGACCCTTCTGAGTTTGACCTGTCTGTGCTATTGTGTGCTGTATGACAGCACAATTCTCCCCTGCTCTTCCCAAAACAAGCTATAGCTAAACCAGCATTGGCAGAGCATGCCAAGGTGATTTTACTCTCTCTTGGGTAACCAAAGTGATCTTAAACAGCAAAGCAATATTGGTTGCTAGAATTGAGTGACAGTATTGAGTTAAAGTGAATCTAGCACGTACTTTTAAATTTAAATTATTGTTAGAATGAAAATACAAGTTAAAACATTTTGTGAAGAACTAATGGAATCAAGAATATACCTACAGACTCCAATCTGAGGAAACTTCTCCAGACTATAACATTCTTAAAAGCAAGGATTGTATTTGTTGTATTTTTCTCCTCCCATCCTATAAAAGGCACTCATTTACTTATTGATGTGAATGTTTTAGCAAGTGGAGTGATGTGGCATTCATCAGTTTAGTCATGCATTTACCCCTTCAACAAAATATGTCATGTTTCAGTGACTGTATGAGAAAGAGTATAGTGTGGTAGTTAAGAACAGGGACTCTGGACCTTGATTATCTAGACTCAAAACCAGCTTAGCCACTTACTAGCTGGATACCCTTCGGTAAGTTATTTTATCTTAGTGTGCCTCAGTTTTCTCATCTATAAATGGAGATAGTAATAGCACCTCATGTAGTTGTGAAAATTAAATTTTCGTGTGTGTGTGTGTGGATATATATACACACACACACACACACACATATATATCTTAAAATGTTTACAATTGTTCCTGCCACATACTATTTAATAAATGTTAGTTATTCAAAGATGCAACATAGACTCCACCCTTAGGGAACTTGCAACCTCTGGTTAGCTATATTCTTACATAGCATGATTATAATGCAGAGCAAAAAGGGATAAATACTATAAAAGCTACCCACAATAAAAAGTATCATGGCTGTTCAAAGTACAAGAAGGTAATTTCCAAAAGGGGAAATTGAGGAGGATTTCACTGAGAAAAGGACATTTGAGCTAAGTTAATTATTATGTGCCCTTTATTCTTGAACTGTTAAAATTCTAGAATTTTGGTAGAGAACTATTTTGTTCCTTCAGATTGCATTTATCTCTGGTGATATATGACACTTTTAAGAAGTGAGATGTACTACTACTTATATTAGTCCTATATCTTTTTTAGCTGGAGGTGCTATAAGGCTGAGTAATAAATACTTCTCAAGGGAGATGAAATATAAGTATAGTTTTATGTCAGACTCTTGTAAGTACTAACTCAAAATTTAATTTGCAAATAATAGCATATTATTTAGCATAGCCCGACCATATACCATCATGTAAAATTTTGTATGTTGTTTCTTTTAGGGATTGAGTCCTGGCTGTTACGATACTTACGGTGCAGACATAGACTGCCAGTGGATTGATATTACAGATGTAAAACCTGGAAACTATATCCTAAAGGTGAAGACCTTTGAAAATATATCATGTATTTATATTGCAGATCAATAGGCCTTCCTTTCTGGATTCAAATGTTAAATAATCATGGTATTGGAAGCAATTATACATCCTCAAACTATTTCTAAACAATCTAATCTAATCTAATCTAATCTAATCTAATCTAATCTAATCTAATCTAATCTGTCTTATTTTAAAGAACTTCAGGGGGAAATACGCAGTCTCCTTCCATAGTATCTCCAGAGTTTAACCACTTAAGTTAAAAATCCCTTCCCTGCTTGATTTAGCTAAGTCCCTCATTAACAATTTCCTTATTGTAGCCCTATGGAAAAAAAAATACTGAGGAACTCTAACACAAATGCTGTGTGTATTGTCCAGGTCAGTGTAAACCCCAGCTACCTGGTTCCTGAATCTGACTATACCAACAATGTTGTGCGCTGTGACATTCGCTACACAGGACATCATGCGTATGCCTCAGGCTGCACAATTTCACCGTAAGTGTTATTTGCTTAGCTAAGTAATTGTCACAAATAATTTTTGTTCATGCTCAAACATTATACATGGAATGTATCTGTTTCTACTACTACAGCAGCTTTCTTGTAAGCAGACCAAAGGCAGAAAATGTTATGCGGTCTGATTTTCTTTTTTCTTTTTTCTTTTCTTTTTTTTTTTTTAATAATGGAAGGCAAAGGAGAATGTACTAAGGTTTTTAGTTTTCAGGAGAAGCTTACTTTGCAGGAGAAGACATAAACAGACCACAGTGTTTACCCAGAAGGCATTTGTGAAGGCCCAATACATCAAATTGCTCAGTATGCAAAGTGGGTGAGCTTGTAGAAGCCTCAGTAGTTGCTTCCTGCCCCTTCCTCACAGTCCCTGAAAAAATTGCTAGGATTCTTCAAAGTACATTTTGAAAACCACTGCCATAAAGTAAGCAACTGAAGAAATCAACCCCCCTGGTCTGTACAAATTAAGATGTCATATATTTGAGTTCTAGAACCATGGATACTAGGAAAATACTCTGCAAAAGATTGAGGTATGTGGAGGTTTCTTTATAATATTCCTTCTCCTGAGACTCTTCTTTGAATGGAATCTTGAAAGATATCTATTCACAGGGAGGTGCTTTGATGAAAATAATGAAAGAAAGTTGGGTAGGTTTGCCTGCGTGCCTGTCTGTCCTGCCCCATCTCCTTAAGCACTACCTCCCCAAGTGTTGCTGGGTGCTAGATTATAATTACATATGCCTCTTGAGTTATGGCTTCCCAACAATGAGAATACTATTTCCATTGGAATGATACTCAACACTCAATAGCTTTGCTTTGTCACTGGGGAACCACCAGTGCCACTGGATCATACAGACAGGTGTAGTAGAGCTCTACTAGAAACTCATAATTAATAGAAATTTCTGCCTGATACAAAACCCAGGACTTTATACATAAAGAAGCAGAGACTGTGCTTTACAAGTGTTGTCACAGCATTAGAGATAGATGAAGCCTATGATAGCAAAAGAATAGCACTGAAAAAATAGTCACATACATTATTGTGAACATGCCCACAGCACAGAAAACCTGGCAGGTTTTATGGCCCATATTGTGTGGAGTTGGTTATAGTATAACTAACCCCTGCCCCCCACCGCCAGAACACCTGTATAATTTAAGCTAAAATAATTTGCACTTAAATGAACAGATTAATTTTTCTTAATTTTTATAATTCCTTAATTTATTCATTCATTCTCCATTTATTTATTCATTTGCACTCTCATTTTTGTACTGTTTGTTGATGCCCTGAACCAGATATTACTGAATAATGCAAACATAAATAGGACTACTAATCTCTATACTGCTGTAGCCTTATTACACTATTTTCAGTTAATTACTTAGGAATTTCTTTGTTTAATGTCTGTCTCCTGCTCCAGTCAGTGATGGCTGGGATCTAGTCTCTTGTCCACTGTTATATACCCGTTGTCAGGTACAGTCTGCCACCTTGCAGCCTCTCACTCACTGCTTAATGAATTTCTTTCTCAAATAATTTGAGTAAAGGCATTTTGAGTAGAGGAAGTGAGAGAATTACACATATAACTGTAATAGAGATAACAATATGAAAAGTTTCATGAGGGGTAAAATAAAATGTGGTGGGATCAGAAGGACCTTTGTTATAAGTTTGGTAACTCCCAAGTATGTCTTACTGACTTCCCACTAGAAATAGGCCTGGAGAGGTCTGTTCCATAGAATGTCTCTTGCTTTTAATCAGTAGATTCCATTGAATTGGATATTGCCAGATATTTAGAAGAAATAAAAATTGTTGTATTGCTCCAGCAATATGATTGTACCAGAGGGATTCCTGATGTGGTCACTCATATAGAGTTGATTTTTTTTTCCGCTAGTTATTACTGAGTGTAACAAACTTCAAGAGTGGTTGAAGTTGGAATGTTTATAACCAATATAGATAAGATGAAAATATGAAAAAGTGAAATTACTCATACTTAGTGATCATAATAAAATATCATACTTATTCTGAGTGGAAATATTGGGGAAAGTATAGAATATTTGAGAAAAAAACCCCACACCTTCAGGATAATAATGCTCGCTTCTTATATTCTGACTTTCACATCAGGCCTTCCTTCCTAGGAATCAGAGTTCAGAGAGAGGAGAGGTGTCTTTGGGCTGAGTTTCAGGAGTGACTTTAGGATACATTTGAATTGGGCCTTGAAGTCTGAGGGATGCACTGGGGAGCATTAAGGAAAGGAAGCCCAGGGCAAGTCAGCATCACAGGCAACTTGCATGGCAGGAGGAAACTGCAGGGCATGTTTGGAAAAACAAGTCTTCTAGTTTGGCTAAAGCATAAATTTCGTGGAGTTAGGAGTTGGACAGAAAGGATGGAAAAGTAAGTTGGGGCCAGATGGAAGAGAGCCCTGAAGAGCAGGCTAAAATTTATTCTGGAGGCAATGGGAGGCTGAAGCTTTTTGAGCAGGAAGTGTAACTTGCCTAAGGCCCTCAGGTCATTCTGGTGGCTGTGTAAACAGCAGTGAGTGTCACTCTGAAGACATATCATTTATCAGTTCACTGATTTCTTTTCCTGCCAGATATTTAAGAGCATTCTGTTGATGTGTAAAAGCCACCCAGTAAATAGGTGTGTGCTGTTAATGTACCCTCTCTCCTTCATTTTCCTCATTGAAACAAAATGTATGGACAAGGTGACTCTGAGCCTCCTTTCAGTTATAAAATACTGTGTAAGTTTTTTTTTTATTTTTCTCATCACAGAATTTACTGTTTGGAAATTGATAGCTTATGATTTGGCATAAGTGCATTTTTACTTCCTTACATGAAGATCTATGATCGCATTTAAATACAGCAATATTTGATTGATCTTTTGGTCCAGTTTCTGCCTATTAATGTATTATTCTATATCCAAAGTCATGCTGGAGAAGGACTAATTCAAGATGGAGCAGAGGCCTTGACTCTGCTTCTTGGTGGATGTGCCACCCTTGTTCCATGGAATGAATTCCCCTGGTCAGGGCTGCTGGTGCCAGAAGTCCTGCTGTACTCTTGAGTGTTTCAGAACTGGTTTCTTGCCACTAAATGTGAAGAGTGTAGGCATTGGGCATCTCTGCTGTTGACATAGTCACTTTCTTCAAACCATTATTAAAATGGTATACTACTGCATAATTTCACAACATGATTGCTGCTTAGATGGAGGGAAACTGTTGCATAAAGTTTTTAAAAGGTTGACTTTAAATTTGTCTATTGTACTCATTCATTATATTATAAGGTTAATAATTTGTCTTATTTTGTCTTCCTAATCTAGGTATTAGAAAGCAAGGCAAAACTCCCAATGGATAAATCAGTGCCTGGTGTTCTGAAGTGGGAAAAAATAGATTAACTTCAGTAGGATTCATGTATTTTGAAAAAGAGAACAGAAAACAACAAAAGAAATTTTGTTTGGACTGTTTTCAATAACAAAGCACATAACTGGATTTTGAACACTTAAGTCATCATTACTTGGGAAATTTTTAATGTTTATTATTTACATCACTTTGTGAATTATCAGTGTTTCAATTCTGTAATTACATATTTGACTCTTTCAAAGAAATCCAAATTTCTCATGTTCCTTTTGAAATTATAGTGCAAAAGGGTCAGTATTATTTAAGTGAATGAGCCAAAATGACTTTGAAGTGAAACTTTTCTAACGTGCTGGAACTTTAGTGAAACATAATAATAATGGGTTTATATATGTCATAGCATAGATGAATTTAGAAACAATGTTCCTACTGTTTAAATACATATGGACACATCTGGTGCTGAGAAAGAAACAAACACATTACCATTGGTGTCAAGAAATATTACTATATAGCAGAGACATGGCAATACATGTATTCAGATAGTTACATCCCTATATAAAAATTATGTTTACATTTTAAAAATAAGTAGATAACTTTCTTTCTTTCAAATGCACAATTTCATTTTGACTTGAGTCAACTTTTGTTTTGGAACAAATAAGTAAGGGAGCTGCCCAATTCCTGTCTGATATTTCTTGAGGCTGCCCTCTATCATTTCATCTTTCCCATGGGCAGAGAGGTTGTAAGTGGGATTCTTAATATCACCATTCTTGGGACTGCTATATGTAAGGCAGCCATGAAACTGGGAAGTCATTTTGATGACTGATGTGATACATCCAGAGATAATATGCATTTAAACATATTAAAATATTTGCCAAAGATACAATTTTCTTGCTCACATAAAATCATACAAACAAGTCCCCCCCAAACCACAACTGTCTCTCAAATAACTTAAAAAAATTTAAAAACATTTTAGGATTTTTCAACTTTTCTAGATTTTAAAAAGATGTTCAGCTATTAAAGAGAGGATTGCTAAAAATTTTATATTATCTAGAACACAGGAACATCATCCTGTGTTCTATTCAGGCTTATTCAGGAATCAGTCACACATGTGTGTGTGTCTGAGATATAGTCTAAATTAGCAAAGCTCATAGTATTACATACTTGAGGGGTTGGTGAACAAAGGAAAAAGATACTTTCTGCAAAACCGAGGATCATGCTGCGTAATGAGACAGGTGTGATTGCATTTTAAACTGTGAAACCATGTGCCATAATAGAATTTTGAGATTTTCGCTTTTTCCTAAATTCAAGAAAATGAAATTACACTTTTAAGTTAGTGGTGCTTAAGCAGAATTTTTCCTACATTAACCAGTATTAAAATCTCAAGTAAGACTTTCCAGTGCCAGAACACGTTAGGTGGAATTTTAAAAGTGCATCGGCATCCTGTATTACATATCATAGAATTGTAAAGTCAACATCAATTACTAGTAATCATTCTGCACTCACTGGGTGCATAGCATGGTTAGAGGGGCTAGAGATGGACAGTCATCAGCTGGCGGATATAGCGGTACATATGATCCTTATCCACCAGGGCACACGCTTACCAGTAGACAATACAGACAGAGCTTTTGTTGAGCTAGTAACTGAGCTATGGAATAGCTTCTTTGATGTACCTCTTTGCCTTAAATTGCTTTTTAGTTCCAAGATTGTAGAATGATCCTTTCAAATTGTAATCTTTTCTAATGGAGATATTTTAATATACTTGCTTTCTTAAAAAACAAAAAAAAACTACTGTCAGTATTAATACTGAGCCAGACTGGCATCTACAGATTTCAGATCTATCATTTTATTGATCCTTAAGCTTGTATGAAAAACTAGGCAATATCATCATGGATATATAGGAGAAGACATATTCACAATCATTCATTGGGCCTTTTATCTGTCTATCCATTCATCATCATTTGAAGGCCTAATATATGCCAGGTACTCACATGCTATGCATTGAGACATAAAAAAGACTGTCTCTAACCTCAATAAGTATTAAAAATCCCATTATTACCCAGAAGGTTCATCTTATTTTATTTTTAGGAAATAAAATTACATGTCTATAAAATTTCAATTTTAAGCACTATTGTTTTTCATGACCATAATTTATTTTTAAAAATAAATTAAAGGTTAACTATATGCATGTGTGTATTTCTAATAATTAAAAATGTGTTCAATCCCTGAAATGTCTGCCTTTGAAATATAACACCTACTATTTGGTTAATTTTGACAATTTTTTTTTCAATTAGGAAGCTAAAGATACTACTTTATTCCTTATGTGAACTTTCATTCCCCTCCTGGCACCTCTAAACACACCCAAGTAACTCACAAGTACTGATTTAACACTCAGTATTTTTGAACTTCTTTGAATTATTTTGAATTTTGAATCTCTTCTCTGAATAACTGCCAAAACTCAAAGATAATGATTAGTTGATGGAGGTTATCAATTAATAAAATAAAGAACACAGTCCAGTCTTACCAAACTCTAAATACATTTTAAAAAATAGGAACTGGCAATGATAAAAAGAATGCTGAGTACTGACAGGAGATTGGCTTTTACACTAAAAAAAAAAAAAAAAAAAAAAAACCAGAAAACGGACTAAATAGGAACATAATTTTGGAGTTTATGAGTCAGTTTACAATATGCCATATTAGTAATCTCATAATGATTCAGACCACAGTCTGGGTTAAAGATGTCTTGACCTCTGAGGCTAGCACTCAGTCTTCCAACAGTAGCATAACATATATGAGTATACAACTTGCCTATTTCCAGAAAATCTGTATATTTTTATAGAATAACTTTATTTACAATTTCTATCATCCAATTACTCACTAGACATTATCTGTAGTAACTTTTTTCGGAATATTCAGATGCTAGAAGAAATGCAATTCACAAAAACTTTCCTGGCACTGAGAGTTAATCTTTAGCAGATTGCATGAAAATACTGAATTCCTGGTAAGGAGATACTTTGTTTATAAAATAATGTGTTTTGATACCAGTCAGTGTATTAACTGCTAACTAAAAAGTACCCTTTTTTCTATATATATTTTTTCTTTTGAACTCATATTCACAATCAATATATTGAATCAGTGAGTTAAGTCTCATTCCTAGCTACCAAAATTCCTGGGCCACTTTTAAACACTAAACATTTCATTTATCCTCTAACCTGAGATGGTGCTGAATTATTTAAATCTGAATGTAAGATGCATTAAATCTTAGCTGATGGTATATAAACATTTAATTAATATAAAACTGCTTGCTATAAACTAAGTAACATGTCATTTGGTGTTATGTTTTTAATGAAGTTTTAGCTTCCCCCAAAGTTTTCAGGAATGTTATTTGTAAGACATTTGTAACTTTTTTGAAGAACTCTTATTTTAAATGCTCAGACATTGGCTTTATATTCTTTGCATTCTCATATTCTTTTATTACACATCTATACTATGATTGCAAGATTTTATAAAAATGCCTTGAATAAATGATTTCAAGTGTCTATAGTAGTCATTTGTTGTTATATAAATAAATCATCTGAAGTTCATTTTAGGTTAAAATGTTATAAGTCATGGATATGGTTGGTAGTTTTTCTTAATTGCCTTTTGTATTCACAAGTTGTTTAATAAGATCACATGACTGGAAATTTGTCTATGATGGATAAAAATTTAGCTGATGTTTTGTGTAGACACTGTGGTCATACATAAACTTTTATCACCATTACCAACTACTTATAAGGACACACAGCAGGCATTACAAGAACAATCACACTGCTTTAATTAGGGTTTACAAGAAATATATCTGACTATAGATGTAAACACACACATATGTACATATTTGTTTAGGGAATACATCTAACTCTAGCTATAAACTATTTACGTAAAGAGATACGTTGCTGTCATAGTAATTCGTATTTAAACCTGCATCAGATTAGCCAGAAATCTCGCAACCTGAGAGGGCAAACAGGCCCAAACTTTGGGCAAGTGTTTTTGGGGAACAACTCACAAAATTAACCCACAAAAGCAATTCATCCTTAAGGAGTCTTGCAGGTAAAACAGATGTAGACTTGTGGCTGGCAATTTGCAGATTCGAGTTGCAGAATAACAGTGATACTTAAAACCACAAATTTCCTGTTTCTATCTCCTGCTCAAGGCAAAGCATCATCATTGCAAAGATGATTTCCCTTGTCTCATCAGTGTACAGTGTTTCAAGCAGTGTTCGTTAATTAGCTCAGTAACCAAAGATAGCAGTGTGTAGATCTTTCCTTTTTGTCTGAAAACTTGTCTGTCTTTATGTGACTCATTTGTTAATATTTCTACTCCTTACCACAGATGTTACTAGAGGATTAACACACAGGTTGAATAAATCACTAATCATAGCAATTTGTAGCTTAAAATCAGAGGCCTTTCCCCATACTTCTTTTTAATTTGAAGAGTAAATAATATTTACATAGAATTAGGAGAATATTGATTTCCTAAAACATGTACTAAAGAGTTCCAGTTTCACAAGATACTCAAAAAGGATCCAATATTAAGTAAGTATGGGAAATGTTATCTTTCCCATATTTTGGGAGATTCACAATACTTTTTAGCATACATAAGTATCTGAGAAATCCTGCGGCAAAGAAACCACTTCGTTATCTAGTGTTTCTTAAATTGTTTTGTCACAAGTCTTTTTTTAAAATAGCTCTCACTATCCTAGTATACAATTTTTGTTGGAAAACTCTGGGATACACCAACTTAAGTAATTTTAAATTTGTAGAAATGAGATCATTTGCAAAGTATTTAAAATAAATGTGGCAGCATTTGAGCTATAGGACACAAGGATACTGGATATCCAAAACTCACTAATTTACTGCCTGCCTCACTTTCTAAAAACTACAGAACATGGTTAAATAAGACCTTTTCAGTAGAAAGGATTATTTAACTCTCTAAATCATGTTCTATTTTAGAAAAAAATATAGGTTTTTCCTATTTGTTAGATAACTTGAATGCTTTTAGGTAGCACTTATTAAAATCTCTTCCCTCACAAATCTTAGTTGTTTATAACACTAGAGTGAAACAATCATTTTCTTCATGGTTCATTCAGTTTGTATACTTAAAAGTATATTATGCGTAACTGCATAACTTAATTTTCAATTAAAGTTTTGTACTTCCCATTGTGGGCAGAGAAAAATGGGATTGGAAATAAATGGCTTGGAAGAATGTATTCATATATTTATAATTTGCTACCAATAACTTGTTTGTTTCTTAATTATGTGAAGTAGCCACAGACTTTGGAGAGAGAAAAAAAATAGAGCTATACAACCAAAAAGAGAACCATTAAAACAATTACCAAGAATATGCCTGTGTCACTGTTAGAAACAATATCGCCAGTTCTCAATTTATATACCAAATCAAACCAGAGCTCCTGACACAATTGTGTAAGTAGGGGCTAAAGACAAATTTAATGATAGAGCCTGATAAGAGATCATTCATTTTTAAAAAATGAACCAAATAATATTGGGTCTTCATTATATATGTCTTTAGTGACTTAATGCACGAATCTTGAGTCTGACAATTTGGAGCCAATATTACCAGCTAGTCATTTGCAAACTGATGAGCTAAACCCTTGCCATGCAGCTAATATTGGAGTCAAGAATTTTCAATTATTATTTTTGACATTATTTTTTAGAATGATGGTATTAGAAAAAAACCTTTTAAACTGATTTATAGTTGGGTTAGTGCTGGGGCTAAGATTCTTGAATAAAAAACAACCTGGTAGCTGCGATCACTTCACGTTTGTGTTAGGATTCTAGTTTCTGCTGACAGGCATATATCTTAAGCTTGCCTGGTCAAAAGAGGAATTTTGGGTTCATGTAACCAAAGGACAAGGGTGGAGTTTGCTGTAGGAGCAGATGGAATCAGGAAATCAAACACCAGCAAGATCACATTCTTGCTGCCCATTCTCTGTTTCTTTGTGAATCAACTTTATTTTCTTGGTTTAATTGAGGTTTCATGAAGATGCAACCCTGGTTGCCTGGAGACCGGGGTACATGTGTACACAGCTTATTGACCAGAAAAAAGTGGCGTGAACCTGTGCTCCAATTTGAAAAGCTCAGGGGAAGGAATTTCATAGGCTCAGTTTGTGTCATTTACCAATCCTTGATCCAATTGTTGTAGATACTATAGCTGATATAAATCGAGTCAATTGCTCTTATTTTATTAATCACTGAAGTCAAAAAGGTGAGGTCAAGTAAGAGGATGCTTCAATCCAAATCACATGACTGCATTTTGGCGTATGTGTGGGTATGATGGGAAGGTGGAGAAAAGGAAAATGACGCCCCAGACGGGGGTGAGTTATTATGGATATTGCCAATGAGAAAATTACCAGGACCATCAAGCCATCATGTTTATGTCCAGAAAAAAGATTAATAAAATCAACATCTACATCATCCAACTCAAACTCTTTTCTTCCAGGCTGCTCACCTACCTGATTTCTGTTGAGAACCCCCTTACTCATAGTATCTAAGGCCTGACTTTCTCTCCAGACAGAACTAATGCCACCATCTTCTCCACTTCTGTGTTACTTGCCTCCATTGGCAGGTCTAACTAGCCTGCTCATTCCCACCTCATCTTCTGTGTTTCATGAAGTCTTAGTAGGGCATTTTAGGGGGAAAACCCATTCTTACAATTGAGAGAAGATCCAAGTTCCTTCTTATTCAACAAGTCACACTGGAGTTCCAAAAAGGAGGGTCAAGGCAAACAGAAAAAGAATAAGAGCAAGAAAGAACCATTCTTTCAAACTTTTGCTTCTACAACTGCTACTCTTTCCCACTGACCACCTTCACCATCCCTGTATCCTGTTCTTTGTCTTTGACCATTAGTGCGAGTCTCCCTCTGGAAGGAACACATTAGCATACATTGCACTCTTTACTTCTGTTGGTTATAGTGTACTCTTAACACATTTACAGACACTATAGAATGAGTGCAGTCCAATGGCCAGGTAGAGGGGAAGGGAAAACTTCAGAGAATAGTGCAGCAAAATACCCATGTTCTTCAAGAACTGCAGGGGTCATGGGAAGCTTGAATGAGAGAAACAAGTAGTCAGCTATATCCATCCCTCTCCCAATATTATCTCTTACTACTCTCACCATTCCTTTTAATTAGGGGTATAGAAAAATTTACATGTAGTTTTTTGCTGGGGTAAAGTGGGAGATGTGTGCAGGAGTGACAACTCATCCCAGGCGTTCCTAAACCTGAGTCCGAGAATATCTGTGACTGCATTAAATTTGCATTGCAGATCAGAGATGTAAGGGGATGAGGTCAGAGGGATGGGATAAAAAACACATACATGGTACAGTTTCCTCACTAATTTAGGCAACCTGCTCTCTGGGAAATAACAGACCTCCAACCTCAAGAAAATAACTTTCTCCAAGGTCTAGACTGACCAGAGATGCCTTTTAGTCCACAGGGAGTTACCCTGTTATTCTTTCAGAGTTTGAGAAGGCTTGTCAGGAGTGAGTCTCACAAAGCCTTGTTGCCTCATCCCCTACCATTTTCTCTGGGGGAATACTTCTGAGTAAAAGAGACTTGGAAAAAAACTACATATTCTTCTTTTCTCTGTCCTCATGTATAGGGTTTCACAATTTAACTACAGGGGACCCTCTGGCATTCTTTCTATGTCAATGACCTGGCAACACGAGGCCAGTGGGAGTGCTTTAACCTCAATGTTGGTCTCATTTGAATTTTCCAGAAAAACCTAAGAATTGGATTTTGCCCATCAGTATGTTTTAGATCTTCATCCTGGTTTCACTGAAATAATTTTAGTTGGTTAGCATAAATAAATAATGCTCATTTCACTGAGGTACCATGCTACCAGTGCTT